AAAAAAAGTTAAGAGATCGTAAGTTCATCAGCCAATCATTGACGGCCTTTCAAGCCAAATCCACCAATCATAGACAAGAAAATAGAGCAGAAGTACTTACGTTCACTTAGCAAGTTTTGAAAGTATGGCCCCAGGTCACGAGACAAGTCACTCAAGGAAATACGTGTTGCAAAAGCAATAATTGCGTAAGTAAGCGTAATTTAAATAAAATATTTACAGGCAGCGGCAGGGCAATAATTGCGTAACTAAGCGTAATTTAATTAAAATATTTACCAGCAGTACCGCAAATCTCAGAGAAATAAGCGGGTTATTGTCTGCATAACGACGCTGTTTTAGCCTCTGTGTGAGTCATCCTGGTCTGGTTAAGGTGTATCACTGATATGAAAGTTTATAAAGTGTGTCAATGTTTGAACAACATTACGCTTTTATTTTAGTGAGTGATCTTTTTTGAAATATACGGAGACTGATGTATTATATAGGCCTACTGACAGACCTATACCTACTGACAGACCTATACCTACTGACGGACCTATATTATAGGCTATTTATTTATCTACATGTGTCTGCGTTAACTAGATTTATCGATATAATTTTATAATTATATAGGCCTACTGACGGACCTATATTATAGGCTATTTATTTATCTGCATGGGTCTGTGTTAATTAGATTTATTAATATCATTTTTCCTCCTAGAATTCAGTTCGAAAACCGGCGAGAGAAAAAAAATTACCGTATTTTTAGGACCAGAATTTTCCTAGAGAAAAAGGTTATTGTTTTGTACCGAATAAAAAATCAATCAAGTGGAAAATTCTTTACACTCAATACAACACTCGTGTAGTTCACTTAATCTTATACAGAATAATACGAAATTAAATCGTTCGAAGTTGATTAAAAAATATGCATTAAGAAACCAAACTATTCTGTTTTTGACACAATAGGTAAACTGAAAATATAAATTTAAACTATTACTTTTTAAAGAAGACTTTTAATCTCTAGCACATGTATCTTCCGTAACACAAAAGCCAATAAAACATTAAAACATAAACAATATAAACGAATTTAAAAATTTTGATTAGCCTTTGACTTGAAAATATATCGATGACATTATTATTATTATTATTATTAAACTATAACGTATAGCGGCAGAAACAAAAATCTATAGGAATGCAGTGAGGTATACCTACCTATATCAACATGAGGTATATATCGACATGATGCTTAATTCGTAACAATAAACTATGACTAATAGAATTTTATCAACGCAACAACCAACAGGACGCGAACAAAAAAAATTCAACGGAAATAACATGAAATTCTGATAAATCAAAAATTTCTATGACACGGCTGGTCCATTTTTAGAAGCCTACCTTTGATCTTTTCTGGGGTAAATAATATATAGGTAACTAATTTAGTGGTGATTTCTCAATAGGTCCCTAATTTAAAGGTAATTAATTTAGATTAATTTGGAAAAAATGGTAATTGTCACAATTGCGACAATAACAAAGAAGTAGATAAAGCTTTAAAACATTTAACGTATAATAATAAAATACTGGTAAATGAGCGTGCGTAAACACCAGTGCACTTTTAATACATAACCACACAGACAAAAAAACTATATGCTGCCTTTGTTTTTATAGGAAAATTATAATTTAATATTCTATGAAGTATACGACAATGTTATTATTTAAGTTGTACGTGTAATTTAGATCAAGCTAATGCTCGCTAAAATATTACTGACAACATTTCTTTATTTCATACGATCCAAACTGATAACATGAATATATCATTCAATAATTCAACGAGATGATTCGAAGTGTAACAACTGACAGTTCAAGTATCAACACCAGGGCCTATACTTTCAAAAAAAGTTAAGAGATCGTAAGTTCATCAGCCAATCATTGACGGCCTTTCAAGCAAAATCCACCAATCATAGACAAGAAAATAGAGCGTAAGTACTTACGTTCACTTAGCGAGTTTTGAAAGTATGGCCCCGGAACTGCAAAACAGTTTCGAACATTACAAAAAAACAGTTTCGTAAACATTACATCTCCGGTAACTATAGAATTAAATAAAAAAACTGGCTTAAGAAATTAGAGACTAGTTACCCATTGATTTAACTCATGGTATGGAGCTTATAAAAAACATACATATTCTGTATCCTCATTAACTTCATATATGATGATTGATAATAGGTATTTGCATCCATGGTGCGGGCAGCTGTTATTATATATAAAATAAACAAATACGATATGATTATAGAATATAGATATTAGATCACAATAAGTCAACAAACAACGGCAAGGCACTTGTTAATATTAGAAGCACTGTGCTCAATTAATGTAGAAACAAGATTATGTGAAAGATAGAGAGAAAAATTCAGAACATTTTTTCAGAATTCAGATGAATAACGTATAATATTAACGGAATTCTATTAAGAGAACCAAAAGACCAAGTTTGGTGCAAAAAAAGTTAGTAAAAATCTGCAAATGAATTATTGGGAGCAAGGCCATATATGAAAGATTGAGTGAAAAATTCAGAAAATTTTTTCAGAATTCAGATGAATAAGGTATAATATTCACGGAATTCTATTAAGAACATCAGAAGACCAATTTTGGTGCAAAAAAAGTTAGTAAAAAATCTGCAAGTGAATTATTGGGAGCAAGGCCATATATGAAAGATAGAGTGAAAAATTCAGAACACTTTTTCAGAATTCAGATGAATAAAGTATACTATTCGGATATGATAAATGAAACACACGGAATTCTAGTAAGAACATCAGAAGACCAAGCTTGTTGCAAAAAAAGTTAGTAAAAAATCTGCAAGTGAATCAAACTTTGCTATTTATATAATATTACACGAGAAAAAAGATTATAAAGGTTACCATAAACGTCGAATACGCAAAGAATAAACAAGTGCATTAAACAATGTAATAAAATATATATTAGTTATTGTCTACAAGAATTCTTAATCGAAGAAATGCACGAAAAAAAGGCCACGTGGAGGCAGGGCGTGCCAAGTTTGCACAGTTGTGATGCTGACGTTTGCTGACGGTCAAGTGAAACTTGACAAGGTGCTGACACTTGACAAGATGCTGACTTGACAAGATGCTGATTTGACAAGATGCTGACTTGGCGGTGATGACTTGACAAGATGCTTACTTGGCGGGACTGACTTGACAAGATGCTGACTTGGCGGGACTGACTTGACAAGAAGCAGGTCCTCCCCCAGCAGCAGCAGGCCGCCGTCAGGCAGCGCCTGGTGAGACTTCACCAACACATCGTTGGCGGTCACCTCACCTGGGCATATACCGCCGCGTCAGCGCATACATTTCCCCATACAATTCTTTGTGTGTTCCCTTGTCATTGGGCATATACCGCCACATCAGGGCATACATTTCCCCATACAATTCTCTGTGTGTGGACCTCACCCATACAATGCTCTGTGTTAGGAACCTAACCCCATACAATGCTCTGCGTGAACCTATCAGCTCCCCTGGGCATACACCGCCGCGTCAGGGCATACATTTCCCCATACAATTCTTTGTGTGGACCTTTTCTATACAATGTTCTGTGTGAACCTTCTCCGTCGTCAGTGCAAACATTTCCACATACAATTCTGTGTGTGAACCTTTTCCATACAATGCTCTGTGTGAATCTAACCCGTACAATGCTCTGTGTGAACCCTGCCCCATACAATGCTCTGTGTGAACCTACCCCATACAATGATCTGTGTGAACCTGCCCTATACAATGCTCTGTGTGAACCGAACCAATACAATGATCTGTGTGAACCTAAACCGATACAATGATCTGTGAGAAGTGTTCAGAGGTACTGACTGCCTATAGAAATGCCAGGCGCTTACTGTCCGGAGGCAATATTGCCCAGTGGCAGAAAGTGCCTCGTGCTCAAACTGCCCAGAGTAGCCGACTGCCCAGAGGCACTGACTACCTAGTGGCACTATTTACCCAGAGGCAGAAAATGCCACAATACCAACTGCCTCGAGGGTAAAGGCCAAACGATAACAACTGTCTAGAGGTAGTAAATGTCACGTGATAACAACTGCCTCAAGGCAATAAATGCCACGATTCCAACTGCCCAGAGCCACCAACTGCCTAAAGGCACTGACTGCGGTGCTGACACTGACTGCCAAAAATAAGAAACCCCAGCAGATCTACTGCTGGGGTTTATTGCACACGGGAGGCTCTTCATCAGCGTCCAAAGGGCGGCGACAGCCCCCCATGCCACATCCCCTGCTGGGGGTGCGGGCCAGGAGCGTCTTGAAGGCCTCACGGACCGTGGCCTCCTGGTCAAAGAGCAGGTCCTCCCCCAGCAGCAGCAGGCCGCCGTCAGGCAGCGCCTGGTGAGACTTCACCAACACATCGTTGGCGGTCACCTCACCTGGGTATACACCGCCGCGTCAGGGCATACATTTCCCCATACAATTCTTTGTGTGGACCTAACCCATACAATGCTCTGTGTTAGGAACCTAACCCCATACAATGCTCTGCGTGAACCTATCACCTCACCTGGGCATATACGGCCGTGTCAGGGCATACATTTCCCCATACAATTCTGTGTGTGTTCCCTCCCCATACAATGCTCTGTGTGAACCTACCCCATACAATGATCTGTGTGAACCTACCTCATACAATGATCTGTGTGAACCTACCTCATACAATGATCTGTGTGAACCTGCCCCATACAATGCTCTGTGTGAACCTACCCCGTCGTCAGCGCAATTCTGTGTGTGTTCCCTTGCCACTGCGCATACACCGCCTCGTCAACACAAACATTTCCCCATACAATTCTTTGTGTGCACCTTTTCCTCACAATGCTCTGTAAACCTAATCAATACAATGCTCTGTGAACTTACCCCCATACAATTCTGTGTGTGTTTCCTTGCCATACAATGCTCTGTGACTGTGAACCTAACCAATACAATGCTCTGTGTGAACCTACCCCATACAATGCTCTGTGTGAACCTACCCCATACAATGCTCTGTGTGAACCTACCCCATACAATGATCTGTGTGAGCCTACCACATTCAATGCTCAGTGACCCCCGTCAGGAGAGCGGGGTCCTCCAGATCAAGGGGCGCCTCGAACATGGCGTTGAGCAGGAAGCTGTGCCGCAGGGCAGAGCAGTCGGGGGCGTCATGGTACAAGGGGTGAGGGGCGTCCATGGGCACCAAGTTGGTCATCTTGCCAGGGTCAACCGCAAGCAGCGTCTTGATAGCACCAGGGGCTGGTTGCAGTACTGCAAAATTCAAGGTAATAACATAGTGGATAATGATAAACAAATTCTGCAATTTCATTTACATAAGAAATCAAATATAAATAAAATTAAAAATTATAATGGACATCATAACTACCTACTCTAAAATATATGAAAAAACTTTTGGTCAATAAATCTAACACAAAATAGTTAAGAAATTAACATAGTGGATAATGATAAACAAATTCTGCAATTTCCTTTACATAAGAAATCAAGTATAAATAAATTAAAAATCATGATGGATGTCATAACTGCTCTAAAATATGGGTAGATATGAAAAAACTTTTGGGTGATAAATCTAACACAAAATAGTTAAGAAATTAACATACCGTAGTGGGTAATAATGAAAAAAATGTCATCCTGCAATTTCCTTTACATTAAGTATAAATTAATTAAGTATAAATAAAATTAAAAACTATGATGGACATCAAAACTGTTCTAAAATACATGAAAAAAAGTTTTGGTCGATAAATCTAACACAAAATAGTTAAGAAATTAACATAGTGGGTAATAAGTAACAAATTTCATTCTGCAATTTCCTTTACATAAGAAATCAAGTATAAATAAAATTAAAAATTATGATGGACATCATAACTGCTCTAAAAAATATGAAAAAACTTTTGGTCAATAAATCTAACACAAGATAGTTAAGAAATTAACATAGTGGGCAGGTAATAATAAGCAAATTTTATCCTGCATTTTCCTGTACACATAAGAAACCACACATAACCAAAATTAAAAATTAAGCATGGACATCATAAACATCATAACTGTTCTAAAATATATGAAAAAAACTTTTGGGTGATAAATCTAGCACAAAATAGTTAAGAAATAGGCAGTCAATCTGATGCATCACAACTAATAAGTACCTAATTCACAATTAATTATATATTCACAATTAATCATTCTTTTACAATCGATTAGTTAAAATATCAATGTGGTCCATACCATTGCCAGCCTCGGTGAAGCGCTTCTGTAGACGCAGGCCGTGCTCCCACAGGTTGACCAGACCACAACAATACTTGAACACTTCAGCCTGCACTTCAGCAGAGAGCGGAGGCAGGCTTCTCAGAGAGGAGATGCTGGGTTCAGCCATAATGAAAGTTTTACTATTTTGCAATAATTTATTAGTAGGAAATTAGTGCAGAAGAGATAAATTGTCAATAATAGACTGATAGAAGGTCTTGAGAATTATCAACTGCAATAAAAAGAGAGTGAATTACTCAGACAGAAACTTTGGTAGATACACAAGAGGCACGCAGTGCCCCGTGCTCTAAATTCGTCTAGCAGATCAGAATAGAATAAGAAAAAGTAAGTGGTTGGTAAAAATTAATTCTTACCACAAGTTTCAAATAATTCAGCTTAATCGTGAATAAAAACATATTTGAACTAATCTTGCTCGTATCTAAATCTCATAGGAAAATTCTTCCATCTTATGTAGGTAGTATTTATGTAATAGTAATGCAGATGCTTTGAACAGAAAATAATAAGAGGATCTAATATTTACAATGCTCTGTGTGAACCGAACCAATACAATGATCTGTGTGAACCTAAACCGATACAATGATCTGTGCAAAACTACCTCATACAATGCTCTGTGTGAACCTACCCCACAAAATGCTCTGTTTCAACCTACCTCATACAATGCTCTGTGTGAACCTACCTCATACAATACTCTGTGTGAACCTACCTCATAAAATGCCATATGTACACAACCATCGAGTATCAAGAGCTTTCTATAGCCATAACCACAGCAGCCCTGAGCACCCCAGATCAGCTCAGCAACCTCCATCATACAAACATGAATTCCACTGCCTTCAATTCAGATTAATTCAATTACGAAATCAATTAAGACTAATTCAATTAAGAAATCTGGTTTGGCTTGTTAGTATACAGAAGGAGCATAAATACATATTAAAGAATTTAGATGCTCTCTTTATAGCAAAGAATGCAAATTTAGACTTTCAACATCCCATACTGATGAAGCTGGACATGATCTAAAAACTCCAATCAATATGAGTACCAAGAAAGATGGCCATATTTTTGCTGGTCTGGTTTTAAGCACAAAGTCCTTGAAATTAATAAGCAAAGTGATGAAAAATAAAAGCAAGATTAAAGGAGTGAAGCGCTAGCTCAGCCTGGCAATACATNAGTATTTTGGCAATAAATTATGAAAGTTTAGGTAATTTTGAAACAAATCCTTAATAAGCTGGGAAGACTTTAGTTAGGCATATACAAGAGGATTTTGGCAACACGTTTGCCGAACTCTGCATAGTGGATATCATGACATGGGCAACAGTTTTCAGTACCGTATTTGTGCAGTGTGTAATTTTCTGAACATGAATATTTCAAATAAGTTTTCCAAATGTGTTTATTAAAATGATTATGTATTAAAAATTTTTCATTATTACCTACATTCTACATACCATGATATGAATAGAAGGTGATAAGATTAATAGGATTGTGTGATGGTATTGGTCTTTTTTAGTAAACATTAGGTACCTAAATTTTGAAAACAATAATCAAGTTTTGCAATAACAGGACTATGTATCCATAATAGTATGTGGGATAACTGGATTATTAAATATGATGGGTTAAAGGAAATTTGATAATCAGAGTTATCAGAGTTTTTTAGACTCTTCCTCAACAGGCTCAACTTCTCAAGTTCAATTTTGAGTCCTACCGTCCTACGGTATAACCGTATAAGTTATAAATAAGTACCTAGACCAGCACAGTTGACAGTAACATGGATACCAGTCATACCACTCATGATACCACCATTATCATATTCAAGATATTGCTTCAAATCTTAAGTAAATGAGGAATTTGACCAGCCCAGCCCCAGGCAGCCAACAGTGCCCAACACTTGGCTCTGGCTCAACAGCCTCAACTGCGGTCCAGCCCACTTTGCATTATACACGTTACAGAAATTCAGCAGCCACAGTGCCACATCTGCCATAGCTGCGCTAGCAGCCTAGCAGGAAACACCCATGGATGGCTCTTCTAAATTAATTTAAATACAACAAGTCAATAGTCAACAACAATAACAAAAAAGAAAAAAAGACTGGCAAACCTTTGTGGGAGAAAGCCAATTGGGTTTTTCTAAAGAAAAGGAATTTGTAAACCGGTTTCAGAATTTATTAGGCCATAGGCCTGTTGCCGATTATTAAAATTGCAGAACTGCCAGAACATACACAGCTACTCAGCTAGTAGCGGTCTCGAACTCACTGTTTCACATTCTGTTGCGCCTAAGCGCCCGTAAGCGGCCTAACCGCCCGGCCTCCTCGCCGATTCTGACCAGAAACTGGCGCACAGAGCTGCCAATCCTGCCATCAAAACCGCACGTCTCTCCGCACCAGCGCCAATCTTGGTACTACGAACTGTAACCATTGGGACTTGGGTCACCACCGTTTAGGGTGAATCACAAAAAAAAGATTTTAAAAATTTCAAGTTTGTGTGAGATCTTAAATTATAAAATTAACCTTTTTTTAGGGAACGCTATCCAGGCACGTGCTTTCGCTTCCAACTAAACCGACTCTCTCCAGTCACAGGTATAAAAAAATTAATAATTGCCGATGGCAAAGTGCTTAGGAGAGCAAAGATTGCTTTTGCATCAATTTTCTGAAATTGAAGAGTTTTGATTTTGATTAGCAGAATATAGAGGGCTCCCTTCATCGTAAACGTTAGGAAATATGCGAATTCCACTGCCCAAAATATAACGTGGTAATTGATAGTGCTGAAAGGCTGCGAAGCATTGCTATATGTAGAGTGCGGAGTTATGATAAGCACAAAATCTTTGAATTATTTGCTTTATTCAACATTATCAAAAACGTATATTGTAAACTCTTAAAAATATGCTAAAAAAATAACGTGATGTTGTTTGGTAAATTCGCGGAATTCGCCCCCACCGCTTCCCTCATTGGATCATTTATTCGCCACTTCGGTGAAGCACTTCTCGCAGTCTTTAAGTACTTTGCGCAATATAAAGCATTGCCCGTATCGGAGATAACCTTTAAAGTACGATTAAAATCTTACTGGAAATTTCTTGTACGATTCAGTCAATATTGGAGGCCGGTAACATAATCACGGTCCAGCTGTGGCATGGTGACCTCTGTCATTGACGCTAATTAAATCAACTCATTGTATACGCTATTTCTTCGCTTATATGTATACTCTACCGACTCCCGAGCATGGAAAGAATCAATTTTATTCCATTTAGAAAAAGTACAGGACGCATTGGAAATATAGGTTTTATTAACGTAGATTTAAAAACTGTTTGGAAGTTACTCCCGACGCAGAAAAAGTATATAGGCTTCCGCGCCCAATGCAGCTGTTTAGGACAATCAGTCGAAAATGCTTCTCAGATACTGCAATATCTGGCAAGATTTGAAAGAAGGCACGCCACAAGTGCCGAGCACAGATTCTTACCACAGCTTATGCTCTGATTTATCGAGGATTCTTTGCATTCCTGCCGCCGACATAAACACCATCAATGTCAAACATTCTTTTACGCGCATCACGATCATATATTCATTTCAGTTCATCCAAACCGAGGTTTTTGTCCACGGAACAAAACCATGTTTTTTCTGTGCATCATAACCGTGTGTTAATTAGCTAATTAATTAATGTTCAGTAAGAAGTAACTTTCACCCCATATCGATTTTTACTAAGATCTAACAACGGTATGTAAACTTCAAATAATTGAAGACTGGAATGACAAAATAATATTTATTCTTCATGCAAAAATAAGAACAATATTTGTACCATCTAAAACAGAACAATAATAGAAGAAATTACACGTTTTTTAGTCTTTGAAGAGAGACTTTCTGCGCTCTAAAAGAGCTAATTTTAGCGCTCTAAAAGAGATACTTTTAGCGGTTTAAAAGAGCTGCTTACCGCTCTAAAAATCTACTTTTAGCGCACTAAAAGAGCTACTTTTGGCGCTCTAAAAGAGCTACTTTTAGCACTTTAAAAGAGCAAATTTTAGCGCCCAAAGGCGCTACTTTTATCGCTCTACAAGAGCTACTTCTAGCGCTCTAAGAAAGCTACTTTTAGCGCTCTCTACAAAAGCTTTTTTTAGCGCTCTAAAAGAGCTACTTTTAGCGCTCTAAGAAAGCTACTTTTAGCGCTCCAAAAGAGCTACTTTTAGCGCGCTAAAAAAGCTACTTTTACCGCTTTAAATGCTCAGATAAAATTAAAACATATGACACAGCCTTTTCCTTCGGGGCACAGGAGAGGTCAATATGCAAGGAACAGCAACATGGAATTAAATTTAATCTATTACCGCCGCTGCAATATTCGTTACTTATTGACATTAAACACATAGTAACTTTTATCGTATTTTAAAGGATATGGTAACGTTGATTATTACAGTTCATGTTATGCGTTCAGGAAGTTGATGATTGGTGCACAACAGCATAGCAGGTCAATAGGAGATATGATACGAGTTTATTTTTAGTGCAGAAAATCGAAATGCAGTTGTAAATAATATAGGTAGTTATTTGCAGACAGTCGTTATGTATAGGTACTTAAGACTAGTACATTGTTTCCAATAGCACAAATGACTGGAGTGAGCAATAAACTGCTTCTTATGAGATCCTAAGAACTGGTCTCAATCCCTCCCCACACTCACTCTATTCGTTCCCTCGCCACAATCCCCTCACTCCCCTTTTTTGCTTCCTGGCTACACTTCCCCTATCTGCTCCCTCGCCCCACTTCCCTCACTCCCTCCTCCACTTCCTCCCTCATCCNTGGCCGTTGTAAACACTCTTCCCCAGGCAGGTGGGGAACAGGGTGCCCCCGGTGGAGCAAAAGCCTCGTCATGACGAGGTTTGACCACGCCAGCCCCAGGGCGGGGGTCACCCTAACCTCGTCCCCCAGGCCGTACAGGTCCCCCACGTCGCCCCCATCCATGCGGGCTGCAACCTGGGGGCGAGAACGTGTTAATAATAATATAATAATATTAATAATCAGCGTTTATTAGGCCGTAGGCCTGTAGCCGGTTCTTAACATCGCAGAACATTCACAGCTTGATGCGGTCTCGAACTCGCAACTCACTGCTACAATTCTGCTATGCTTAACCGCCCGGCCTCCTCGCCGATTCTGACCAGAAACTGGCGCACAGAGCTGGGATCGAACCCGCACCTCTCCTGTCTCTTATACACATCTAGATGTGTATAAGAGACAGGTTAAAGCCAAACCCATGGTTTGAAAACCATAAAATAAGGGTTTTTCGGGG